TGCGACATGTTTTGAGATGGATCAGACCTCGGAATGGCATGGAATGGCATGGACCATGTCCATCTCCAGAAGACAGCGGTCAAGAAAAGAAGTAAGGCATGAGGACCAATCGAATTCACAGCAAGACAACATAGCATGGTAAGGACGTCGTCCGGAAAGCTGCCTTCTATAGTAGGTGTTTGTTTGAGAGGTGTAAGGTGGGAAAGTGTCTTTTTTGTCTGTAGCGGAGCCGTGCCTGCCGAAGCAAGAGATGGACCCAGCTGTGCTTCGGCCAGGTGAAATGGAGGCCACTTGTACAAGGGGATTACGGTCGCAATTTCAAGTGCGAGGGTCGTAATCTGTCACAGACAAGGGGATGAGCGGGTCGTAATTTGAAGAGTGCACGGGTCGTAATAAGTGCGAGGATCGTAATGTGTCACAGACAAGGGGACTGGCCTGTCCGAGGTTGTAATTTCAAGTGCGAGTGTCGAAATCTGTCAGAGACAATTTGACAATGCGAGGGTCTTAATTTCAAGTGTGAAGGTCACAATTCATAATCTGTCAAAGCGATTGGGCTTGTCACGTGAGGGAGAACCTGGACGATGCGCCGTTCCTACTCTCGGTCTCTGCTTTGAGATTACATAGCATTTTGCCGCCATTGTCGTAATGCCGGCGTGTTCTGAAGTGTTTGGGCGGTTCCCGGATTGGGGGCTCAAAATCGTGGTTTTGCTCCAACCACATCGGTGTACCTTTGGACTGGGAGTAATCCCGGGAGCTCCATGTTCCTTGGCCGAATCTTTCTCGTCCAGCTTCTTCTTCTGATTCTGTCCTGGCTTTAGGTTGCGGCGCCTTGCGCTCTTTTTTTTCCTTTGCAAATTCCGCGGGCTTCTGCCTGGCTCCTTTTGGACCCCAGCTTGGCAATGTTGAGGACGCGCGTAGCAAGAGAAATCCTTGTATGCTCTGCTTCCTACCTTACAAATCAATATTGCTTAAAAGGGGCACGGGGGACGCCAGCATTTTCGCTACGATTCTCAGAATGTCTCCATCGCGAAACTTTGTTCCCCTTTTTCACTGGCCCGCTGAGCAAATTGCTCCACTGTTTAAACTTATGCAGCCCGCAGGTGTTGGACACTGGCAATTTCACATTTTGCATCTTCCAATGAAAGGATGCTTGCAGCGAACTCTGCCACCCAAGGATGCAATAAAGTAGCAAGAAGCGGCCGCAAGATTGAGCAAAATGGGGTTCCAAAACCAGGGCCTCAAAACAAACAGTTTTGCGGTGACGCATGGGCGTACCCCCATAGTAGCAAGCATGCTGTCGATTTTCCCATGCGTGAGAGTTGATTGTGTATCTTCTGCAAGGAAAACATGTCTTGACTATGTTTGGTCTGTGAATGTATTCATGCTCTCTGTTTGAGCAATTTTGCCCGCCCAAGTCTCCCTTCCTTCTTTGGTTGAAGTTGTTGGTTTGTTGCACACTTGAATAAGATCGCCCAGCAGACCGCTTGTTTGCGTCTCCGTACAAATTTGGGGCCCCGGATTGCATTTTGGGGCCTGATTTGGGTCCAATTTTGGTCCTTGTTTTGGGTTTCATTTTTGGGCCCAGTTTTGGGGACCTTGATTTTGTTTGTAATTGTAAGGGCCCAAAACGGTGCCCGAAAATGAAACCCGAAACAGGGACCAAAACATGACCCAAATCAGGACCCCCAAATCCCCAAATTTGTACTGAGACGCAAACAAGGTCTACATGATCTTCATTCAGCGGTCTGCTGGGCGATCGGATTCAATTGTGCAACAAACTAACAACTTCAACCAAAGAAGGAAGGGAAACTTGGGCAGGCAAAATTGTTCAAACAGAGAGCATGAATACATTCACAGACCAAACGTAGTCAAGACATGTTTTACTTGCAGAAGATACACAGTCAAGTCCCACGCAGGGGGAAATCAACAGCATGCTTACTACAGTATACAAGTTGTGTGTGTGGTTAAGTTTTGTGCGAGCAAGTTGTGTGTGTGCAAGTTGTGTGTGAGTAATGTGTGGTTACAAGTTACTGTGTGTCAGAAGTTGTGTGGTGACAACTGTGCGTGCAAGTTGTGTGTGTGTGTAACATCTTAACAGATGTAAAACTTCTCTCTTTTTCTTTCTTCCTTCCGTCCTCTCCCTTTCTAAACAACGCAGGGGGGCAATCTCATGTTTGCAGCTGATTGCCCAACGAAGAGGGCTGCATTCATGACTGATATGACTCTGGGACGCTGGAGTCACGTACCTGCATTTCCAAACTTCTATTATTCGTAGGATGCATCGTTAATTTCCGTGTTTCGTATCTAATCTGCATGTTTCAGGATTCAGTTCCTGCCGGATCATATAATGATCCATTCTTGTCTAGTGTGATTTCCATGGTGGCTCCGACATGGTGCCATGGAGCCATTGGAGGCAACCCTTTTCAGGGTGAATGATGACTGTCCTGACTTCCGAATTAACACATTTTAAGTTGGTAATTCATTTAAGTAAAGTGCAACAGTTGGCCTTGCGGTTGTTCAGCCTTTTGAGCGTCCCGCTGCACCTGCAGTCCCAGGGACCCCAGTGATCTGTTCTTTCATGTGCAGCTGTGCCGAACATTCAGAAACCTCCGTTTTTACTGCAGCTTCAGCGTTTGTGATGAGACATGACATGCATGACAACAGGCAACAGGCATGTCCTCTTCCTGCAGGTGTGGTCTCTTTGGTATTTGATGAGGTGAAACATGTTGTGCACCTAATTCGTTGGAACCTGAAAGCTGTTTTATGCCCTTGTGGCTGACTGGAACACGGGCCTGTTGTGGCACAATCGCACGAACTGTAGGTATAGGAACTGAGTCCTGTTGTTTAACTAATTGTTTTGATTTTCTTGTCTGTCACCAACTAGTCCCCCATTTGGTCCCTAATTTTCCCCGCGTGCCTCTCCGTAATGTGTCGTGGGGTTTAGGTGTGTGCGCTGTTTTGGTCAGGTCCGTTTCGCCGTGTAGGTTGGTTCCGGAGGTCCGTCTGTTCCCCTCCCCCCCTGCGCTGTTTTTGGCCGTCTGCCCGTCGTGTGTCCGCTTTTTTCTTCCTCTTGCCTTTCAGGGTTGACCCGGCTCTGGCCGGGTGTGTGTGTGTAACATCTTAACAGATGTAAAACTTCTCTCTTTTTCTTTCTTCCTTCCGTCCTCTCCCTTTCTAAACAACGCAGGGGGGCAATCTCATGTTTGCAGCTGATTGCCCAACGAAGAGGGCTGCATTCATGACTGATATGACTCTGGGACGCTGGAGTCACGTACCTGCATTTCCAAACTTCTATTATTCGTAGGATGCATCGTTAATTTCCGTGTTTCGTATCTAATCTGCATGTTTCAGGATTCAGTTCCTGCCGGATCATATAATGATCCATTCTTGTCTAGTGTGTGGGGGTGCAAGTTGTGTGTGAGCAAGTTGTGGATTCATGTCATCCGTTTTGCATAGAGAAACAAAGAAAGACAAGAGAAGCAGTCGGTGCCCACTCTGCTGGGCTTGGGCATCCTGATGAGGAAACCTAACAGACTGGAAAGAGACAGAGACAGATTTCTTTTTCCGATTGGCATGGCGAGAGGCTAAGCCGAGAACCCCAACTACGAGAGATTTTGTTTGGCATCTTTCTCAGCGAGGTTTACATGGTACTTTTCCGAGATGGCGAAGGGCCAAGCCGAGAACCCTGACATGGCTATTTCTTTATTTATTTGACATATTTGGCGATTTTGGCCGTCCTGGAATCTGGTTTTATCTACGTTGATCGTTTTCGGAAGACTTCTGTTACTATTTCTTCACAGTTGCTGCAATCTGGTATTTATTCTATTTCTTCGACATGGCGAAGGGCTAAGCCGAAAACCCTATGACGACAGTTTATTTATTCCGGATCTATTCTTTTTCATCGACATGGCAAAGGGCTAAGCCGAGGACCCTACCACGATGATTTTTTCTCATTTCTGGAACTTCGTCTTTGTTTGGTTAATCAATTTGGGAAGAACCTCTACGTTTGCGCATATTTCCTCCACGAGATCTCTTTTTGGTCCTTGTTTCTAATCCATATGCACGTGAAGGAATTCAGTTTCCATCGGATCGATACAAAGATCCAATTTTATCTGGTGTGATACCTATGGTGGCTCCGACATGGTGCCATAGGGTCATTTGAGGCAACCCTTTTCAGGGTGAATTTCGTGAATGACTGACTCGACTACCGAATTCACACATTTTAAACTGGTAATTCGTTTAAGCAAAGTGAAACAGTCGGCCTTTCTGTTCTGCACCTTTTGTGTTGTCCCGCCGTTCCTGTCGTCCCTTGTGATCCTCTGAAACCTGCACCCTATACTCCTACCGAAGTTTTCAGCCCAGAAAGAACATGAATCATGATCTTTTCAGTCAACCCCGTTATTAATTAAATTAATAGTATAAATTTAAAACGGGATGGAGTAGGAATCTGCTTAGGAAAAGATGTGGGAAGGTGAAGTATTGAAGGCTTTCTTACTCCGCCATTTTTTGCGAAGCCACCCGGAAACTGTCAGAAACTTTGTTTTTGAACCGCAGCTCCAGCCTTTTCACATTACAGCATACAACATGGAAGATGATTCAGGCAGATCCACGTCTTTAGGTGTGGTCTTTTTTCTCTTGCTGGTTGTCTGGTGAGGTTGAACATTTTTTGCATCTCCGGTAATTCATCTGGCTTGACTTGACTGCTGTCCCCTTTGTGGGAATAATTGTTTAATTCTGTACAGTCTGTAGAAGCTGAATCCTTTCTACAAGTGTACCTTTTCTCAATTCTCGCTCTGTGTTCGCAGCAACGCATCCGTGGCAGCAATCGGTCCCTTCGTGACCGGCACCACCTTCATCATGTGCACCACGATCGACGCCCACTCCACCACCGACTTTTTGCGTTTGCTACTTCACCGACGCCACCTACTACTACATCTTCCCACCCAGCAATTTTTCATTCACCACCTGGAGAGGCTCCTCACTCACATCATCTGCCGGCAATGGCGATGTTTTCTCACCCTGCCGCATCCGACCACCTTTTTGGCCAACCTTCTGACCTCCACACTCATTGGACACCTCCTACAACTACTGCCCACGCTACCCCAATCACCTACGGCAACAACTACACCACCGCCTATGTCATCTTGGACGACTACGCCCATGCCGATACCAATGCCCACTCAACACGCACAAACTAGACTTCAACTTTCACCTCAACGACTTTTTTCAGGTTTCTCCGCCCCAACTGCTCCTCCAACTACGTTCAATATGCCTCAATTCACATCAAATATGGGTCCTGCTGAATCTCATCAACCTCCTTCATCGTGCGTACCACCTGCACATCCGCCCCTTTCTCAGGACGGTATTACCACCATGAACTCCAGATGTGCAACAGTTTCTTTTGTGGCCACCACACAACAGGTCTATGCATCACTGGTCACTCCCGCTCAACCCACCAACAATGCGACACCTCCTCCGGAACCTCCCAGATCTTCGACTCCGCGGCTACAGCCACATCAGCAGACATGTCGGCGATGCCTACAGCAACTCCAACCGCGGCCATACCTGGACCTCGTGTTCCTGCACCTCCTCCCGCTCATGCCCATCAAAGCCGTGATCCCACAGAACATCGAAGATCACGCCAAGAGTCGTCGTCCTATCACAACTACCGCCACCGAGATCGAGATTAGGACTATGGCCACAGTGAGGGACCCTCTTGTGGGGGACAGCGTGAAGGTTCCCACCGTCATGATTCTTACTACGATTCCTCCAACAGACGCTGGTGACGAGACCAACATCCCAGCCTTCAAGATTGGTAGATCAACTTTGGCATCGTTTTTTGGAGTTACAATGCTTCTCCCGCTTGGTGCCACACCTACTCCTGATCTCTTCCGTGAATTTGGATACATTCTGCGCTAACCGGCTACATGGCAAGGGGCTGAGCCGAGAACCCAGGATCTTACATGTTTTTTCCGTTTATTCAATTTGCCTTCTAGGCGTTAACTCTCTGACATGGTTTTATTTGTCGGTCATGGCCAAAGGCTAAGCCTGGAACCCTGCGCACTTTATCGTCCATTGCATCGTCTTGTGCATCATGAAACTCTATTTTTCGGTGATGGCAAAGGGCTAAGCCTAGAACCCTGACGTCAACAATAATGCACTTCGGCGATCTTGTTTTATGTCATTCTGTGATACTCCATAGTTGCCTTTGCCACGGTTATCCTTACCTTTTGAACTCGACATGCTGAAAGAAGCTCCTCATTATCTCCTCTTTTGTTACTCCCTCTTCCTTTTTCCCCTCCTCTTTACACATATGTCGTCTATGTGGTCTATGTGGTGTATGTGGTGTATGTGGTCGATGTGGTCTTTGACGTGGTCTATGTGGTCTATGTGGTCTATGTGGTCTATGTGGTCTAAGTGGTCTATGTGGTGTATGTGGTCTATGTGGTCTATGTGGTCTATGTGGTCTATGTGGTCTATGATGTGGTCTATGATGTGGTCTGTGTGGTCTATGTGGTCCATGTGGTCTATGGTGGTCTATGATGTGGTCTATGATGTGTTCTATGTGGTCTATGATGTGGTCTATGATGTGGTCTATGATGTGGTCTGTGTGGTCTATGTGGTCTTTGTGCTCTATGTGGCCTATGTGGTCTACGTGGTCCATGTGGTCTATGTGGTCTATGTGGTCTATGTGGTCTATGTGGTCTTGGTCTATGTAGCAACGATGCCCTTAAGCGCATGTGCAGGCTACAAGGTATAGCTCGGGGAAAGGACGGTATTACCACCATGAACTCCAGCTGTGCAACAGGTTCTTTTGTGGCCACCACACAACAGGTCTATGCATCACTGGTCACTCCCGCTCAACCCACCAACAATGCGACACCTCCTCCGGAACCTCCCAGATCTTCGACTCGCGCGGCTACAGCCACATCAGCAGACATGTCGGCGATGCCTACAGCAACTCCAACCGCGGCCATACCTGGACCTCGTGTTCCTGCACCTCCTCCCGCTCATGCCCATCAAAGCCGTGATCCCACAGAACATCGAAGATCACGCCAAGAGTCGTCCTCCTATCACAACTACCGCCACCGAGATCGAGATTAGGACTATGGCCACAGTGAGGGACCCTCTTGTGGGGGACATCGTGAAGGTTCCCACCGTCATGATTCTTACTACGATTCCTCCAACAGACGCTGGTGACGAGACCAACATCCCAGCCTTCAGGATTGGTAGATCAACTTTGGCATCGTTTTTGGAGTTACAATGCTTCTCCCGCTTGGTGCTAGACCTACTCCTGATCTCTTCCGTGAATTTGGATACATTCTGCGCTAACCGGCTACATGGCAAGGAGCTGAGCCGAGAACCCAGGATCTTACATGTTTTTTCCGTTCGTTCAATTTGCCTTCTAGGCGTTAACTCTCTGACATGGTTTTATTTGTCGGTCATGGCCAAAGGCTAAGCCTGGAACCCTGCGCGCTTTATCGTCCATTGCATCGTCTTGTGCATCATGAAACTCTATTTTTCGGTGATGGCAAAGGGCTAAGCCTAGAACCCTGACGTCAACAATAATGCACTTCGGCGATCTTGTTTTATGTCATTCTGTGATACTCCATAGTTGCCTTTGCCACGGTTATCCTTACCTTTTGAACTCGACATGCTGAACGAAGCTCCTCATTATCTCCTCTTTTGTTACTCCCTCTTCCTCTTTCCCCTCCTCTTTACACATATGTCGTCTATGTGGTCTATGTGGTGTATGTGGTCTATGTGGTCTATGTGGTCCATGTGGTCTATGTGGTCTATGTGGTCTATGTGGTCTAAGTGGTCTATGTGGTCTATGTGCTCTATGTGGTCTATGTGGTCCATGTGGTCTATGTGGTCTATGGGGTCTATGTGGTCTATGTGGTCTATGATGTGGTCTATGATGTGGTCTATGATGTGGTCTGTGTGGTCTATGTGGTCTTTGTGCTCTATGTGGTCTATGTGGTCTACGTGGTCCATGTGGTCTATGTGGTCTATGTGGTCTATGTGGACTATGTGGTCTTGGTCTATGTAGCAACGATGCCCTTAAGCGCATGTGCAGGCTACAGGGGAAAGGACGGTATTACCACCATGAACTCCAGCTGTGCAACAGTTTCTTTTGTGGCCACCACACAACAGGTCTATGCATCACTGGTCACTCCCGCTCAACCCACCAACAATGCGACACCTCCTCCGGAACCTCCCAGATCTTCGACTCGCGCGGCTACAGCCACATCAGCAGACATGTCGGCGATGCCTACAGCAACTCCAACCGCGGCCATACCTGGACCTCGTGTTCCTGCACCTCCTCCCGCTCATGCCCATCAAAGCCGTGATCCCACAGAACATCGAAGATCACGCCAAGAGTCGTCGTCCTATCACAACTACCGCCACCGAGATCGAGATTAGGACTATGGCCACAGTGAGGGACCCTCTTGTGGGGGACATCGTGAAGGTTCCCACCGTCATGATTCTTACTACGATTCCTCCAACAGACGCTGGTGACGAGACCAACATCCCAGCCTTCAGGATTGGTAGATCAACTTTGGCATCGTTTTTGGAGTTACAATGCTTCTCCCGCTTGGTGCCACACCTACTCCTGATCTCTTCCGTGAATTTGGATACATTCTGCGCTAACCGGCTACATGGCAAGGGGCTGAGCCGAGAACCCGGGATCTTACATGTTTTTTCCGTCCGTTCAATTTGCCTTCTAGGCATTAACTCTCTGACATGGTTTTATTTGTTGGTCATGGCCAAGGGCTAAGCCTGGAAACCTGCGCACTTTATCGTCCATTGCATCGTCTTGTGCATCATGAAACTCTATTTTTCGGTGATGGCAAAGGGCTAAGCCTAGAACCCTGACGTCAACAATAATGCACTTCGGCGATCTTGTTTTATGTCATTATCTCTTTTGTTACTCCCTCTTCCTCTTCCCCTCCTCTTTACACATATGTCGTCTATGTGGTCTATGTGGCCTATGTGGTCTATGTGGTCTATGTGGTCAATGTGGTCTATGTGGTCTATGTGGACTATGTGGTCTTGGTCTCTGTGGTCTATGTGGCCTATATAGTCTACCTTGTCTACCTTGTCTATCTTATCTGGTCCATGTGGTCTATGTGGTCTATGTGGTCTTTGTGCTCTTTGTGGTCTATGTGGTCTATGTGGTCTATGTGGTCTATGTGGTCTATGTGGTCTATGGGGTCTATGGGGTCTATGTGGTCTATGTGGTCTATTTGGTCCATGTGGTCTATGTGGTCTATGTGGTCTATGTGGTCTACGTGGTCTATGTGGTCTATGCGGTCTCTGATGTTCTACATGGTCTATGATATGGTCTATGTGGTCGATGATGTGGTCTATGATGTGGTCTTTGATGTGGTCTATGATGTGGTCTATGTGGTCTATGATGTGGTCTTTGTGCTCTATGTGGTCTATGTGGTCTATTTCGTCTATGTGGTCTATATGGTCTATGTGGTCTATGTGGTCTATGTGGTCTACATGGTCTTGGTCTATGTGGTCTATTTGGTCCATGTGGTCCATGTGGTCTATGTGATCTACATGGTCTATGTGGTCTTTGTGGCTTGTGATGTGGTCTACGTGGTCTACGTGGTCTATGTGGTCTATGTGGTCTGTGTGGTCTATGTGGTCTATGTGGTCTATGTGGTCTTTGTGCTCTTTGTGGTCTACGTGGTCTACATGGTCTTGGTCTATGTGGTCTATTTGGTCCATCTGGTCTATGTGGTCTATGCGGCCTATGTAGTCTACGTGGTCTATGTGGTCTATGTGGTCCAAGGGGTCTATGTGGTTTATTTGGTCTATGTGGTCTATGTGGTCTATGTGGTCTCTGTGGTCTATGTGGTCTATGCGGTCTATGTGTTCTATGTGGCCTATGTGGTCTATGATGTGGTCGCACCATCGTCTACCCCATCACCTCCACCTCCTACTACGGCATCTTTGGCAACCCAACTTCGCAGCCGAAGATAATCTTCAGCACCACCGCCCCGATCCAAATGACCTGACAGTCCTTCAAGCAGCTCCAGGCCCTGGCAAGTGCACTACAGACCTTGTCCGCATCGAGCTCTTCTGAGACGACTGAGACTCCGTCCGCTACCTAGGACTTTGGCACTCTCTCCAAGTGCATCTTCCGAGAAAAGACCCTGCTGCGGCAGGGTGTGTGTGTACCATCTGAATAGATGTAAAACTTCTCTGATTCTTCTTTTCTTATGTCATTTAGCAAGCAGGGGTGCGCGGGAATGCATGTCCTGTTCTTACTTTTCCTTGTTCCCTCTTTCACCTCTGGTTTCATGTCATCCATTTCGCATAAAGAAACAAAGAAAGACAAGAGAAACAGTCGGTGCCCACTCTGCTGGGCTTGGGCATCCTGATGAGGAAACCCAGCAGAGCATCCGAAACTGCAAAGATACAGAGACAGATTTCCTTTTTCCGATTGGCATGGCGAGGGGCTAAGCCGAGAACCCCAACTACGACTTTGAGATTTTGTTTGGCATCTTTCTCAGCGTGGTTTACATGGTACTTTTCCGAGATGGCGAAGGGCTAAGCCGAGAACCCTGACATGGCTATTTGTTTATTTATTTGACGTGTTTGGCGATTTTGGCGTCCTGGAATCTGGTTTTATCTGCGTTGGTCGTTTTCGGAAGACTTCTGTTACTATTTCTTCACGGTTGCTGCGATCTGGTATATATTTTATTCATTTGGGATCTACTCTTTTTCATCGACATGGCAAAGGGCTAAGCCGAGGACCCTACCACGATTATTTTACGTTATTTCTGGAACTTCGTCTTTGTTTGGTTAATCAATTTGGGAAGAACCTCTACGTTTGGGCATGTTTCTCCACGAGATCTCTTTTTGGTCCTTGTTTCTAATCCAAAGGCACATGAAGGGAT